CTACTGACTGTCCTTTCTGTCTCTTCTCCTCCTAGTCCACACAACAACAGATAGAACTGCTTTACCACCTTTTGCTTTGGCTGGGTGGCTATTGCTGGAAAGACCCAGAGTAGACATAGGGCTTTGAGATCAACCTGATCCAAGAGGTCAGACATGAACTAGAGCAAGACTCAGAAACTAACAAGAAATGGGGAAAAAGCCCAGACTTGTTTTGTTTTGTTTTTTTATGATATTATTAGCATAATATAGTTATACAGGGGAACAAGATAGTGATACTTACGTATGTGGTTTAAAATATATCTTAGTTGCTTTACTTCCCTACAATCATTCTCCTTCTTCCCCTTCTCCCGCCTACTTCTTAGAAACAGTTTCAAACAGGTTTTTCATCTATTTTCATATGGATACAAAACACATCCACCATAAACACCCCTATTTCCCCCTTCCTTGTGCCCACCCCTTCCCATAGGTATCCACCCCAGAAAAGATTTATTTTTCCCTCCTGCCTTTATTTAAATATATATTGATAGTCCAAGGGGGTTTTGCTTGGGTGCTTCATGCTTTTATCAATTAACTCCCCCCCTCAATTCAGAACTTGTCTTTTGCCCAGGGATATGTTGTTTGAGTTTCATAAGGGTGTTCATTTGTCTTGTTTTTTTTCTCCACTAAATTTTTTTTTTTTTGGTGGGACTGGGATTTGAACACAGGGCCTTCATACTTTGGCAAAGCAGATGCTCTACCACTTGAGCTACACCTCCAGTCCATTTTGCTCTGGTTATCTGGAGATGGGATGTCTTGAACCATTTTCCCTGGGGTGGCCTTGAGCCACAATCTCTCCCCAATCTCAGCCTACCAAGTACTAGGATAACAGGCATGAGCCTCTGATGCCTAACAAAATTTTTTAATTGTACATAATTCATGGGGGTGCAGTGTGATAAGCATGTATACAATGTATAATGATCAAATTGGGGTAATCAGCATTTTCATCTTCCTCTCTCAATTTACCACTTCTTTACTGAGAATTTTCAAATGCTTCTCTTCTAGTTCTTTATAAAGTATTATAATAACTTGTTATAAACTACTCATCACTACCATAGCCATGGAACATTAAAATACACGCCTCCTATCTAACTATATTTTTGTACCTGTTACCAACCCCCTTTTTGTCCCTCTATCCCCAAATTTGTCTTGTTTATTTATTTTTTATTTTTTTTTGGCAAGTACTGGGGCTTGAACTCAGGGCCTTCACCTTGAGCCACTCCACCAGCCCTATTTTTTTTTTTTTCTTTTTTGCCCAGGCTGGCTTCAAACCATTATCCTCCTGATCTCTGCCTCTTAAATAGCTAGTGATTACAGTGTGAGCCACTGGTACTGGCTGTTTTGTTTTTTCTTGAGACACAGGCACCTTTAGTCATCTAAGAAGCAAAGCAAGAAGGTCACTAAACATGGAATCAAGGCAGATCACTCGAGATCTGGTTTCTTTCAGAAAGGGCATCTGCTAGAGGAGACACTGGGAGGTTACATGAAGAGCTCAAGTGAACCCATCTTCCCCAGGGGAGGCATTAAAATCCCAAGGGATTCTGAGACCACCCAATCCAACCTGCTTTTACTAGCGATCGTGACATGGGGTCAAACAGAGGCCAGGCTGTGAGAGTTGAGACCCAGAGCACAGGTAGATGTG